TTAATAATTATGTCTTATCCTGCTAATGGATTATAAATTTCTTTAGGCAAGGAATATACCATTTTTATTTTTTTATATCCCATAGTATCTAGGTCCTTTCTGGATCAACAGTAAATACTTTTTAATTTTGTTCACAAACCCACTGATTTCAAGACCCCTTCATAAAATCTGGGTTAGTTTTCTGGATTAGGGTTATTATTGACAGTGTCCCCAAGATGGATTTTTTGGATGATTATGACATGTAGAAAAAAATCTATGATTTTATAAACATCGATAACATTGAAAATCACTCAGTACAATATCTCTTTGTTACATGATGCTTTATTTAAATTTACAAATAAGAGTTTCCATTTTCTAAAATCTTACTTATCAATAATCTATCCTATTATTAAAATTCCTAAACTTTTATACATCAAAATTGTTAATTATTTAACTTCAATCAATTTATGTATGGTAATATTTCATTAGATTTCTAGAACAAGTTTTTTTCTTTTTGTGAAATGGTGTGCTTCCTTGTTATAGACAGTGAAATCCACTATGTTTTCCACTTTTCCTAGATTCCCAGAAAGAACAATGTCATCATTGCCTTTAATTATGGTCGCTTCCTTTACCTATGTAAACTCACTGTATTTTTTTATTCCTTTTTCTCCCTATTTTCCATTTCTGCTCCTTTAATCAATTTTTAATTATGATAATATATTTATTCTATATCAGATTCTTTTTTTTTGGTATCATTAATCTACAATTACATGAAGAACATTATGTTTACTAGGCTCCCCGCTTCACCAAGTACCCCCCACATACTCCTTCACAGTCACTGTCCATCAGATTCTCTTTTAGCAAATAGATTATAAATTAAAAAATATACAACCATCAAGTATCTGATATAGAAGTAGAAGATTGTATTCTTTTAATAATAAAGAAAAGCAGAGTTTACATGAATGGGTTTTAATATTGGTATTTTTCTCTCAAGAAAAAAGCAAGTGTTATTTGAAATTAGACTTTTCTGAAGATGATGATTAATGACCAGTAATACTTCTACTGACCCACAATTGTGAAATATCAGCTCAGTGGATTTTGGTGAAGCCACTAACCACATAGGTGATACTGAAATAGATAGTTGGCCCTGACTACAAATAGCAAAATTTGAAATACGACCAGACAGAATTTTGGATTTAAAGCACTATCACAGGCAGATTTCTTGATGGACCTCTTGCTCACTGGAACATGAAACATTTTGATAACAATAATTAGTTCCATTTTAGTCCTTAACCTTCCTGTATTTTCATTCTTTAATCCTTTAATTGTATGATGCCATGAATTTATTTTCAGCAAGGAATTTGGATGACCGGTCATATAAAGTAATATTTAATGTATTATCTTCACTTAGAAAATGCTATGTATGCTTCACAATTGTATTGTCTGTAAGTAAAGTAAATTATTGTAAGTTTTTGGCTCATAGGAAATGCCCAAGCTATGCCAAAGTACCTGGCTGGTTTAGCAGACATGTTATTAATGAGATACCAAGTGAGAACCAACCCAAAGAATGATGAAAACCCTTTGTTTCCTAAGTTTATTTTTAAAATTAGTTCATGTAAAACTTCAGGCGAAGTTTCTCTATGAACCATGCTTCAATATTTTTAAAGAGAATCAAATCTATGTACACACAAATATAGTTTTATAAACTTATAATTATATTGTATTTCCTCATGTTTTAGAATTTATATTATAAAATCTTGCTTTTTAGAAATTACAGTAGTTTGCATCTGATTCAGTGTTACAACTTCTGACAATTCCAACCACACTTTCATAGTATAGTATTTTAATCTTTTGATTATTTATATTATTTGTCAGAAACAATCTCCTACAAAATACTGATCACTAACAAAATAAATCATTAAAAGAAAATCAGAATGAAGGCAATACTCTGCCTCATCAATTACACATTGATTACACATGGCAGTTAAAGCCCATATGTAATATAACCACTGAAATATAATAATTAAAGTGAATATTTACTCTGTACTTGACCTGTCCTGTATTTTGTCATAGTATTTCCTAGTGTATTTGTCATATTGCTTCTTGGCTGATTGCTAAATATTGGCTATCACTCAGTTTTCTAGGAAAGCATTGAATAAAATGTGTCTGGTAATTTGATAAAATCACTTCCATTCACAGAATTATGCACAAATAATAAAAATACGACATTTTGAAATATGATTGCTTGAGCCAAGGCCCTACTAAGGACAATTTTTTTAAAAGAAAGTATCATTGAGGATTTTTGTTTTCTTTGCCCATATTTACTTTCTGAAGTTTGTTTTTCTAGACTAATATGCCTTTATGGTAGAGATTGACTAGGGGTTCAACAGTTTCCCTTTTCTCTTCCTGAGCACAGAGCAAGATTAACTTCCCTACCTCTCTTGCAGTTATGTTGGAGCCATGTAACTGTCTCTGCTTAATATAATTGAGGGAAATTATTATAACCTGGCCATGAAAAATATGATCTTCCATGATCTCACTCACTATCTAGAATTGAAGTTCTCCAAGATAGCATAATCACATGATGGTGGGAACCTGGACCCTGGTATCCTTTTCTTGGATGGAACTGCCTAGAAGAATAGCTCAGCCAGGAACATCTGTTAGACTTTGTGCAAGGGTCAAGTAAACATTTATTGAATTAAGCAATCAAGATTTTGGTTTGTTTCTTATAGCAACTAACAAGTGCTACCCTGAGTCATACAACTGGCAAAAAAGCAAGAGTTTCTGAGGCATTCTTAGAAAAGTAAAAATTCCCAAATTTGGACATAAAATGAATATGCTTTTCATGTTATTCTTTTAGTCTTAGCATTTAGAAATCTCCTACTCAAAAAATTTCAAGACACTTTTACAAGGATATAAATCTGCATAAAAAGATACACGCTAAGTTTTACAATAAGTTAGAATTCTTTTTGGGTAGTTTTTGTTAAAAGAATGTCATATATATATAAGAAATGGCAGAAACAAATTCAGCTCTTTTAAAAAATTAATGTACTTTTAAAATTCCCTGACAAAATCTTTTAAAAACTATCTTATAGTTTAGTTATATATTTCCAGAATATAACCAATTCCTTAGAGTATGCTGTTTGCTGTCAAAACACAGATAAGTAAATATATTTTGAAGAGGAAGCAGAAAATTAGACAAGTCAATAATCAAAATTAGCCCAATAGACTATGTCAGATAAACATCCACCAAGACTAAACAGAAAATTACCTAGAAATATTTGCAGACAAAATTATCAATCATTATATCTACTGAGAAAGTTCACAATGGGCATATTTTCTAAAGACATAGAATTCATTATACGTCTTTATATTCAGTGCATTACACAAATTCTCTTTTCTTAGGATATTATATCATAGGGACTGAATTAGGGCTATTAGATTGAAATCTTGTTTTAGAAACCATTTCAAAGTTTCAAAGAAAAGAATGAAATGTATTATAACATGTAAGACAAAACTTTCATCCTTTATTTCTTAAATACCTTTGCACATATAAAAATCACACAATTTTGCTTATACATACCATTTATTAGAAGTTAAATTTGAGTTAAAATTAAGGTTATGGTCTATTTCACAGGAATACTGGATACCTTCACTAATTCTTTCCTGATATTCTTGCAGGAAATACATTTATGATCCTATGTTTATGTATTTTCAGGCCTTATTGGTAAGAGATACATAGACCTCCTGGAGAAGGAATTCTACTTTCTCTGTAAACATTTAGTAATTTACTATTTAATTATATGTTGACTTAACAATTAGGAAATTATGTAAAGAATTATAGCATCATATAAGAATAGCAATGATATTTCTGTGGCTGCTGAGAGTCTTCTGTTTTGTGTTGTGCTTTGCTATTGTGCTAGATCTTTCTGAAAGGCTCATTCAATCTTAACAACACATATATTGATACTTGATTGGAGCTGGAAAAAAATGAGACAGATATGAAAATAAAACAATGTCTAAAGATAAATTAACAGCTGTTTATGCAAATGACCTCTGTAGGGATTTAGAGCTAAGGTGCTCAGGGAATATAGGCATTGACCTGGGACTTGAGAGCAGTTTGGGCTGGAAAATGAATAGAGAGATGGTGTGTACTCAGTTGGTGAATCAGAGATGAATCAGCAATGCGTAAGTGGAAAATAAGAGTTAGGAATCTAGAGAAGATTATCTGAGCAATTTAAATCAGGAAATGAGATTAAAATTTATAAGGAAAAATGGGTAAATGTCTTTAAAAGGGGCTTGCAATATCAAAATGGGCAAAAGCAATAAAACAGAATTTGATAATTTGCCAAAGGCTTTGGTCACTGTGATGCTGCCCACATAATTTAGCAGAGTATGGTCAGCGTCCAACTCAAAATGTGAGTACCTGTAACTATACAGACAGAGGAAGTTCTTCTCACCTGGTCATAATGGATAATTCAATGGAAAATGAGGAAGACATTCATTGTCAACTTCCATATTTGCAAATGAGGGTTGAGTAAAGGGTTCATTCAGTTAAAAAATAATTTTGTGCACTTGCAGTATATAGACTTTTCCAGGTACTAGGGGAAATGACACCTGTAAAGAATAATCTCATCAGTTTGTATTCTGATGAGAGTGGAGATAGACAATATGCAATTAAGCACAAAAATGGGAAAGCCAATGATTATTTCAGATGAATGAGAAAAGAGAATGCTTAAAGGTACTTCTTTAGCTTTGGGATCCTCTGCAAAGGTAACATTTAAGGTAAGATCTGCATGTTGAAAAAGAGCCAATCAGTAGCATAAGGGTCTGGAGGCATTCTAAGCTGAAGAAATTGAGGCACAAAATTTTGAGAAGGGAATGATTGTAGTGTGACTATTGGAAAGGAGACTAAAGCAATCACGAGAGAGAAGTAAAGCAAGAAGTCTGGAGAGGTAGACAGAGGTAAGAAGATGTAGGATTTGCCAGGCCATGATAAATTACTACATTTTAATTTTAAGGGAAAGGTTTTAACAGAGTTTAAGAAGGGTGTCTATAAGAACTGTAATCAATAAGCTTGGGAAACTTTACATGATGTAGAGTTATATTTTAAATTAGTAAATACAAGGTTTAAGACTTGCAGAGAAGAAACTAACATGTTTAACTCAGGATCTTGCAAATTTAGAACCATTTATTTCCAATACAGTCTACACTCTGCAGTTGAGAATGGTACAATTTATTACCTCACCTGATGTTACATTATGTATTCCCTCCATCCCAATGCATATAATTTAATCCAACTAAGTTGAGCCTTTAATGTTCTTCCCTCATAAGAACATTTTCATTCATCACTGTTAACCTTTGCTCAATGTTAAAAGGCCTTTCTCTCTCCTATTTTCATATCAAAATCATATCTATTCTTTATGACCTATTTAATGTCTAAAAATTCCATTCTTCTGAAGCAGAATTCAAGTATTTACTTTTATCATGTTGGAGGTAATTATAACAAAATTCATACAGCAAACTTATTTGAGTAGGAATTTCTATTTCTCTACCTGAAATGCCATTGTGTTTATCCAGCTGTGACTATTGTACCAAGAAAGTGATATTTCTAAAGAAAACAAAACAGACTTAGGAGTTTCCTGGGGTCATGAAGAGGAAGGAGTTAAAATAACTGCTTTGTAATCTATTTCTATTTATTGAGTAGATTATTTCAGAAAAAGAAAGAAGGCAGGTGACAAAATCTAATCTCCTTGTAGCTCTTGAGAAATGAGTTATTAATATATGGTAGGAAGAGAGTCCTTTCAATGGAATGCTCTTAAAAGGATGCCTTTGACCAAGATTACTTATGGTAAACAAACCTAGGGTATGTGAGGTTTAATTTCATGGGAAATATCAAATAGATAGGTATTTGTATATAAACTGGAAATGCTTTATAGTCTGAATGTTTCCTGCTGTATGGGTACTAACATGTCTTAAATGGAGACCTCATCTAGAACTCTAGGCTAGAAATTGCATATATAATGATTGATCTTAAGACCTGGGGAGCCATCATTGTCATCCTACATCTCTCCCTGCTTTACTTGTACTTGTTATTAGCTTGTTTTCTTGAATGATTAGTATGTATGTCTGAGCTGAAAAACCTGACTTTTTGTTTAGCTCAGGGGAAAAGAAAAAAAACCCACAAAATGTAAAAAGTTGAAAAAAAGAAGTTTGAGAAAGAAAGAAACCTGATTTACTAGAAGAAAGTAAAAACATACCATAAAACACTATCTTATTGCAAATACAAAAATAAATTGTAGATATAAAAAATTAGCTGTTAAAAACCTCTTTCCTTCAAAATCTTCTTTACTAGTTCCTCTTTTCTCTTTCATTTTTTAGGTAGTCGATGTAGCACCACCCCACTTACAGGTGCTAAAATCCTTTTGATTCTGAAACAAAATACCACACTTAGTAGCTTCACAAAAGAGATTTATTATCTTACAGTTTTAGATGTCAGAATTCTGAAATGGGTGTCACTAGGCTAAAATCAAGGTCAGCAGGCCTAAATGCCTTCGGGAGGCTCCAGGAGAAAATCTGTTTTCCTGCCTTTTCCAGAGTCTAGAGGCCTCTTGCATTTCTTGGCTTGTAGCCTCTTCTTCCATCTTCAAAGCCAGCAGTGTAGTATCTGCAAATCTCTCTCTGACTCTGATACTCTGATTTCTTCTTCCACATTTGAAGGTCCTTTGTGATTACAGTAGGCCCACCTGGATAATCTAAGATGATTTCTCACCTTAATTTCATCTGCAACCTTAATTATCCCTTGCCTCATTGCTATGTAGCAGAAAATATTCATGAATTCTGGAGATTAGGAGGTAGGCATTTTTTGGAGGAGATCATTTTTCTATCACAGATATAACAATAAAGACAAAATACAGACAAAATAGATACATACACATATATTTCTATATTCAACTGTTTTTAACAATTGGTAG